TCCTCCTCCTCCTCCTCCTCCTCCTCCTCCTCCTCCTCCTCCTCCTCCTCCACCCCACCTTTCACACATATCATCCAGTCCACTTTCTTCTCTTCTCCATCGCCACCGCTCTTTCTTGTTTCTCATTCTATCAGTTTGTTGTTTAACGTTGCTGAGTTTTTTTCTTGTATTTATATATTTCTTCCTTGTTTTGGGCGTATTGCATCTTGCACTCAGTAATTCATATCATTCGTAGGGACGTGTCCCCTCCCTCCCTTCCCCCTTCCTTAGCTACCCCCTCGCCTCCCACGTTTACGCTGTAACCGTTTTTTCGCTTACTCAGACCACGCAAGAATGAACGGGAGGGGCGTGCTCCTGGGGTGTCAGGGGCTACTACCAGGGCTGATTATCCCCGTGGGGAAGGTTATTCCGAGTATCACTTTCCTGGGGCTCGGGTGCCAAGGCTGAGGCTCATCTGACACCGTCCCGGGATAGCTTGGCATGTCTGCAATTCTAACTTGCGTTGTGGGGACATGGCCGTCATACGTCCACGCACAGAACGCGCTTGCCTGATTACTCGCCTTTTGGGGCTCCACTCCATAGTCAGCAGCAAGCGCGAACCGAGCGTGCGACGGGGCAGCGGAGTACCACCCCCCCCGTTTTTGCTTCTAAAACTCCCCAGGGCCTTCGCAGATGCTCACGTGTGACATTATCCCAACGTAATTATTATGAGTAATGCAAGTTCCTGTGCGAATTCGTCATTCTTTTCTGGAAAAGGGATTAAAAAAGGCCAGCGTGTGCCTGGCAAGTGTGTTATCTTGGTTGGCTTGAGTGGCCGGAGTTTGTGGTGGATGGAAAGATGATCACCATTTCTCTGCGTGAATCTGTGTACAGTTCTTGTTTTCGTTTCCTTACTGCGGGATAACTCGTCAGAATAACAAGGGATCCGGCCACTTTTATGGTACGTAAGATGTTCCACCTTAGTTACGCTTCCGCCGAGAAACCAACAACAATACACACTTGCTAACCGTAAATCCTCTTGTTAGTTATGGATGGAACAGTTGTTGAAGGGTTAGCGTCTCTTTCGTCAACTCCATCTCCTTCTCCCCTCCCTCCCCTTTGCATCTCCTCTTCATTACCTCGTTTTCTCGTCCCACTCTCTAGGATGATTATTTGCTCTGGATTTACAGATGTAGCATAAGACTGCCAAAGTAACTTACACAAATGCTACTGTACAAATGACCATTCACTTTTGCCTTATTCTTTATTGACGTGTCTTTTCATACTACAGGTCCTTTCATCTCATTCATCTGTGGGTATTGGTTCATGACGCTTGAATATATGACACTAAACTACGGATTTTCGAATTCATATTGGTTTTGACGGCGCAGAATTTCTTAAAATGTAAGGAGACACCAGAAAAATGTAGAGAATGACCCCGGTTCATTTTTACCCTCTCGTGGATTGACTGTTTGATCATGTAGGCCTACATATCTTGGCACCACTATATCTTGGAGTAATCTTGGAGAGCCAAAAGGGTGTTAAGGATTTAATTTTTGTATAATTCTGTGTAGAGAGAACGAAAGAACAGACGAATAGTCCAACTTGAGTTGTAGTGTGTCCTTTGTTTTTTTTTTCTTCGTTGGAAGTGTTTTAATTCGCTTCAGATGTTCTGTGATTTTTACTGCAGACGTATGAAAATAAATTCCGCTGATGTTGAGAGTATGTTAGCAGTATGTCAAGAATGTATAGTCGGCTTGGTGTTTTTTTGTTCCTTTAGATCACGTGCATTTGGTGGTCGAGGAATGCTGAGACCACCACCTTCAGTGCGACTGCCTCTCCTGACCGGCTATTTCCTGACTTATGACGTGAAGACTGGGCGTCTACGTGTGTTGCTTTCTGTTGGGTATACAATGTCATGACTATGCAAGGGTTTATTTTGTGACGGATTTTCAGTCTGTATACAAGAAGTCTCCTATCTGAGCTGTTCATATTTTTTTTCTGCTGACGTCACACTTTTTACGAGAGTGATATAAATATGAAAGGTGGTCTTTGCGTCAATTGTAGAACGCAAAACACTAATCTCTCTTTTTCGTATCAAACAGTCCCTTCAGGATTTGAAGGTGATATTTTCAGTCGTCGCGAAGTGGGGAATGATTTATCTTGGAATGAAAACAAACAAGCACTGACGAGTAATGCAGGATTTAATCTCCTGTCGGTTCGGAATGTGGAACGGTAAAATATTCGGTTCAGTGGACGCCATCTTTGTTCACTTTGACAGTTTAATATCCGGATTGAATCTATTGACGTGAGCCTCGGGGTTTCCACACAGGCTTTGGGCACCAATTTATGAAGCTTCTGGTACCACTTTACATATTCAGAGCCTTTAAAAAGATTTCCCCATTATATGCCCTACCTGCTTCGGATTTTTTAGAGTTTGTGTGAAGAAAGAGAAGGGTCAGACAGTTTAGGAAGGGTCAGAAAGAGAGAGAGAGAGAGAGAGAGAGAGAGAGAGAGAGAGAGAGAGAGAGAGAGAGAGAGAGAGAGAGAGAGAGAGAGTGTGTGTGTGTGTGTGTGTGTGTGTGTGTGTGTGTGTGTGTGTGTCGACCAAAGGGCTCTAGTGCACGCCCTTATCTTGCAAGGCTTCAACGCCCTCGTTGATCGGCCACTGCGGGGATGGCGAGGCGACGGGGCAGGGTCCTGGGATTTGCCCTCGGGCTTTGCGGCGGCGTCACGGAAGCTTCCCAGGTCATTAGCCTATGAGAGGGATGGCGTCGGGGGCTGCAGGCGGGCGGTGTCGGAAGGACATGCTGGGGAGTGTAATGATTGCAAAGGAGAATGTGTGGCATTTAGTGTGTAAGTGGGAGGCATAGGCTGATGAGAGTGACAGGGTGTGTTTGTGAGCGTGAGTCTAAGTGCAGCATTGATGTCTGGGGTGAGTGTCCCTTGAACGGCGCAGCCTGCCAGCCTGCTCGGCCCTTCGAGACAAGTTGGGAAGCCACCTGACGGCGCGATTTTCAAACTAATTGACTATGGATCTAAGGAAGGAGGTTATTACGCTGTACATATGTATTACGAATTGAATATAACACTGATAGTACCCCCCTCCCCCCAGATCTCTCTCTCTCTCTCTCTCTCTCTCTCTCTCTCTCTCTCTCTCTCTCTCTCTCTCTCTCTCTCTCTCTCTCTCTCTCTCTCTCTCTCTCTCTCTCCCTCTCTCTCTCCCTCTCCCTCTCCCTCTCCCTCTCCCTCTCCCTCCCCATCTCCTTCCCCTCCCCCTCCCTCCCTCTCTCTTTCCCTCTCCCTCCCTCCCTCCCTCTCTCCCTCCTCCCTCCCTCCCTCCCTCTCCTCCTTCTCTCTCTCTCTCTCTCTCTCTCTCTCTCTCTCTCTCTCTCTCTCTCTCTCTCTCTCTCTCTCTCTCTCTCTCTCTCTCTCTCTCTCTCTCCTCTCCTCTCCTCTCTCCTCCCTCCCTCCCTCCCTCCCTCCCTCCCTCCCTCTCCGTGTGCGCGTGCTCGTGCATGTGTATAATGTATGGATGCACATTAGAAAGCACGACTAGAGTAGATGTGAGCATTGCATGCCTAGGCAGCGGTGCCTGCCACTCACGGAAGGGCGGGGTCACGTGGCAGTGCGAAGGGTGCAAGGGTAGGACTTGCCACGCACGGAAGGGTGTTCACTGAGTGCCTATCGAAACCGGAAGGGAAGGGCCCGTATGGGGTGTATTTTTTCGCCTGTTGTTAGATTACAGATTGTTATGCAGTGGCAGTGTTGTGGGTATAAGTGTCCAGGTTGCGTTGGAAAACAAGTGTTATTTTGCGTGAGGGTGACGGAAATGTGAATAGGAAGAGAAAGAGAGAAACAGAAATTTAGAGGGGGGGGGGGAAGCAAAATGATTAAAAGCTTGAGGTATTGTGGTAGAGGTCATTACCTGGCCGACCATACTGCCACCTGCTTCTGTCCACGCAATTCCTAGTTCGCGAAGTTTGTTTACCTCGTCCCGTCTACAGCACAACTTTTCTGTGTTTGTTTTTGTGTTTGTTTGTGTTCATGTATTCGTTTGTCTATACGCATACATACATATATGCATGCACACACACACACATACATACATACATACATACATACATACATACATACATACATACATACATACATACATACATATATGCATGCATGCACGCACACACACACACACACACATACATACATACATACATACATACATACATACATACATACATACATACATACATACATACATACATACATACATACATACATACATACATGCATGCACACACATACATACATATATGCATGCACACACATACATACATATATGCATGCACACACATACATACATATATGCATGCACACACATACATACATATATGCATGCACACACACACACGCACACGCACACAAGCGTATGAGTTTATATGTGTATATTTATTTATTTATTTATATTCACACCATCCCCCATTTTCCTTTCCTCCCCCCCCCCTGTGCCCCATCCCTAGATAACGACCAGAAGCCACTTGCTTTGCCTAAGAAAATAAAACGGATATTAAAGTATGACCACGTATTAAAAAAAGATGCTTTTAAAGATCCACAGAGCCCTCACTCTTTGTCGACACAGCTGAGTTTTATTTATTTATCTATTTCTTGTCGAGGGAAGCGTTGGTGTACATTTTCACATGTCAACGGCGTTCGCGGTTAAGTTCGCAGATGGACCGGATGTTACTTGCTCGTGGATGCGCGGCTTGTGTGTTGATCTGTTCTTTACTGTTACTGTTGTTTTATTCTTTCTTCTTTTCTAATTGAGTGCAACCTTGGTGCAATTATCGATTGTTTAATTGCCTGTGAATAGATGGGAGATATCAGTATTTTCTTCTATTCTACAAGACTTCAATTTTCATTTATTGTAATTAGCTTTTATGGTTCCTACGGAAATTATAACAACCTTTGAACTTCTCGTGTGGCACCAAGAGGCCTTCCTAACCTCCCTTCTTCGTCCGCAGCGAGCAGAGCGTGTGCAGCGCGCGGGCATCGGTGATGATATACGATGACGTCAATAAAAAGTGGCTGCCATCGGGCTCGTCGACAGGCCTGTCCAAAGTCCACATATACCAACACACAGTCAACAATACCTTCAGGGTTGTTGGTAGGAAACTACAGGATCATGAGGTAGGGTTTCTTTGATGGTATTGATGTTTTTTATTATAGTTATTGTCATTTTTTGTATTATTGTTAATATTTGATGATAGGAGAGGATGGAGATAGTGTAGATGGATAACATATTTTCATAAAAGCATATGATATCATTAGTAACAAGAATTTGAATATAAAGATAATGCTGTAGATTGCTTATGTTTTAGGATTGTGGATTTATTGATTGTAAATTTTGGTAAATGATAATGAAATGTAGAGTTGTCACTGTGCCTTGATTTCCCTGAATGATTTCAAAGATCAAGTTGCAGTCTTTTATTGTACACGGTATTTTTCTTCCAGTGAACTAAAGCAGTCATGAAGTAAAAGGTCTAGATGATTTTGAACCTAATAATATTGACATTATTCCCCATAATATGCTGCATCAAATACATGGTTAGAACATTTGTCTGCATCTGTGAAAACTTTTATTTTTGCTGCAATTTACTTGGGTCTTGCTGGACAGTTTTACCTGGCGTTTTACTTGCACACTTGTCACAATTTTCTTTGAAACTAGAGATGTGCTGATACCATGTTGCTGACCTGTGGCTGATACTTTGCTGATACTGATACCTGTAAAGATACTTGTATTTTTGGTTCTGATTGAACCAAACTGATTTAATAAAGAATAAAGTAGAAAAGTATCAAGAGTATCATCCATATTTTCACCTTGTCAACACTGATGCTAAAAAAAGACTTGTAACAGTACTGCCCATACTGATATTTATACTATTAGCATATCTCTGTTGAAAATCTTTAACTTTATTTAAACCAGCATTATCATTATTTTTATTGTTCTTGTGAGTGTCAGTAATTTTAGGAAAGTTGCATCCTCTGTTTTTTTTATAGTAATTGTGAAGTGTCATGGTATGGAAAGGTGAAACTAGAGACATGTCACCTGGTTTCTTTGTTTTATTTTTTTTTCCATTTGTCTTCTTTCATTTTTTAATGGTTTTATTCCATGTAATGATATGTATGTGTTTGTGTGTATGTATAGTAGTTTGAAGTTACTATTACATGCACACATATCTATAAAAGTTTTTACTTGTTTAAGTGTCTACAACTCTGATTATTTTTATTCCTGATTTTGTTTCTTCCTGGGAATAGGTCATTATAAATCACTGTGTTTATGTGTGTGTGATTTTGCAGGTTGTGATCAATTGTGCCATACTAAAGGGTCTGAAGTACAACCAAGCAACTGTTACTTTCCACCAATGGCGAGACAACCGGCAAGTTTATGGTTTGAATTTCTCCAGTAAAGATGATGCAGATGCATTTGCACATGCTATGCTTCAAGCACTTGAGGTAAGCTGTCTTAGTGCTTTACATCTTATTATTTTAGTAATGTAGAAAACCTGGCTGTCAGCTGTTTGATTTCATACTGTGCAGTCATATGCAGACTAGCTGTCTGCAGGCTGTCAACAAGCAGGAAGGTTTTTTAGATAATAAGATGGTTAGTGTTCCCAAACTGGCAGGTACATGAATGGCTGACTATATGTTTGATAGTTTAAGACATACTCTTAGTTACCTCTCAGTTTAATTCTTGGCTTATTTACTGATATGGTTTGCTGTATGGATGAGCTACTACTGTTTGGTGATGGTGTCAGGTGCTGTTTTTTAGGGGATTTGTAATTGGCTGTTGTACAATTTTATTACAACCAGCTGAAGTTGAGCTCAAGGCATGGTTCCAGTGAATACAGGAATCGATGAATGTTATCACCATGACTAAGTCCATAGCAGTAAGCAACTAGAGGAGAGAGCAATAACGAAAATGAGGAAGATGTAACTGTGAAAGAGTCTTTGTTGACAGGATAATTCAGTTGTATGCTGAATCAGTTGATCACAATGAAGTTGAAGAAGAGCCAGGTAGAGGTGAGATGCATGTGGATGAGCCAAGGGAACACGAGGAAGGATAGGATGAGGGGAAGGAAGGCCTATGGTGAGGCTTTGGGAGGTGGAGAGCGGCATTGAAAGTTGGCCATGGGCTTGTGATGTTATCCTTGGCCTTTATTTCCTCCTCTGGTTTTTTTCTGTGCTCTGCCAATTTTATTAGATGTTTGAGGTTTTGCTAAATTTTCTCTTCTGTATTTGTAATTCTGAATAGATTAGGAACACTGTTTAGTGTTTGGTTTGGTTGATGTCGAAAGTCTCCATTACCTTTTTTCCCATTGTTTTAAAGTTTTGTTTACATTAAGAATACCTGTAAATAAATCCCAATAAGTATGACATACCTTATATAGTACCAGACTCTTGAACTATATTTGTGCCCGGGAAATTTGAAGTTTGCTAGCATCTTTCAAACTATTTTTTGGACTTTAGTACTTAAAAAATTTTGTTTGTATGTATGGAATGTTCATAAGTAGAATGTTCTTAAGTAGGGGACTATCTGTATTTTATATCTATATTGGAATTCCTAAGAAAAGTTTAAACAGAAGAATTTACTTTTAACAAACGGTTGTTCAAATAATTCTTTGGTCACAGCATAGTTATTTCTTTCTGGAAATGAATATACTGCTTTTAATGCTATTTTCAGTACCAAATGGTAATTAAAAGGGATAATTAGCCATAGGCCTAGGAAAGGAGGGATGGAGATAGTGGCTGAAAAGCACCTGGGGGCAGTTTCTTCTTGCTGCTTCTCCTTACTGTGTCTTCTTTAATAATCTTTTCCAACCACTGAGTTGCATAATGATAATGGATTACCAAAAAGGGAAAAAGAACATGTGACAAACAAGCGTACGATTGTAAATATTGCCCCCCCCCCCTTCTTCACCCTTTCTTGCTGGCACATGCTGGCCAGAGGAATCCAGACAAGGTTGCCACATTATACTGTGATGTTGGTATTACCATCCATGTGCCTTATTCCAAGTGCTTGGCACAGGAAAAAATTACCATATGGTGTGAAAGCCTGGGTTCATGTTGCACCATGCTCCATTTCAAGTCATGTGCCTCTGACAATTCTGTAATGTAATGTAATTAGTAATGATTGGCACTTTGATATATTACTATGTAGGCAGTTATTTAAATTTTTGATTAATTATCATATGCCAGTGATAACTGTGCTACCATAACAAATCTGTCTGTTAACCAGCAAAACAGTTTACCAGCACTTCCAGGTCATGATGAAAAAATTGATTGTTAGAAAATTGATTCTCAATCCTTACCTAGTAATTTAGCAGAAAAGATTTTTCTCTGACTTTTAGATATTCTGATTCTGTTTGCAGTAGGACAGTTTGATAGTATGTTTTAACTGTGTTTTTTATTGTATTTCGAAAATACTACTAGATCTGTAGTACTTTTATTATTTTATTTTGTATTAGAGACACCATAATATTACAATAAGGTACTGTTTTGTTTTACTAATGTATTTTATCAAGATATTGTAATGCTATAATATGGCTAACATGCTTTGCTGCAGGTGCTCAACAATGGAGGTAATGTACGGCAAGGGCCCCCACCACCTCCCCCAGCAGCTCCTCCCCAGCAGGTGCAGCAACAGCAGCAGCAGTTGCCACAACAGCCACCCATGATGACTCAGCCTCAGCAACAGTCTCAGCCCCAGTACCACAACCAGATCTACAACGACGAGGACATGGGGTACAGGTATGCTGATCCCCATGCCTACAACAACCACTACGAGAAAACCTACGACAGGACCTACGACAACTATCACCATTATCATGATACGCGGTAAAGTAAAGATAGCCTGCATCACACCTGCCCGGGCTGTTGATGCTCTCTCTTGGTGCACGGGCGAGGGACCACTACTACCACTACCTCTCTACTGATGCTGCGTTGATGCTGACTCACAGCTGCTCTCACTAATGGATGGGGACTGGGGTGCTGACCTGCTACACTTGTCGGTTTCCTTGCAGTGTCATTTCTCTTGTGCCAGTGGATGAGTACTTGTAAAGTAAATATGTGCTAGATCTTTCCCAGGCATTAAGGGAAGTGAGATGGGAGTAGGAGACTGAAAAATGTGTAGGTAAAGCTGTTGTTTGTTGATCCCCCATAATAAGATCTCTGTAGTCAAGTTCTCCTACAGTACTGCTAGACAACTAGTCACGCTCCAGGCTCCCCTAGCTGACGCTGGTGGTGGTATCCTTTTTATATTCATTTGAATATGTATTATCAGCCTTCCTTTATTTGCTATATTTTGTATTTAAGTTCTGCCAAACTGTGATGGAATCAAAGGTGTAAGTAAGCTTATTCATTTAGGTTAGCATTTCACTTTTTTTTATTTGTAGAGTTGGATTTCTTCTGTAAGATCCCAAGTAGTTAGATAGCAGCATGTCTCTTCTCTATCAGTAAGCTTTAGATTGATAAGATTAACACTGAAATTTTACTTGTTATTTTTTGATGTTTTATTGTTACTAGTGTTTTCTCTGTTTGAAGGCTATGATAAACTGTACACTGATCATGTACAAATTGTTGCAGGACGATGACACGAGAAGATGTAGCTGTGATGCAAGAGCGTCGCATGGCTGGTCAACAGAATATTGGAGCACCTCCACCACCTCCACCTCCTGGTCATCATCGCACCAACTCAGCCCCCAATGCACCCCCAGCACCTCCAGGACCTCCAGCACCCCCTGGCTGTCCTCCACCACTTCCAGCTGGTGGTCCTCCTCCTCTTCCCTCAAGTGGACCTCCTGCACCTCCAGCACCACCAGTGGGAGGTGGTCCTCCAGCACCACCTGCACCTCCTGCTCCACCTGCAGGTGGACCTCCTCCTCCTCCAGCTCCTCCTGCTCCACCAGCTGCTGCTGCCCCACCTCCTCCACCCCCTCCACCTGGTGGACTAGCAAGATCTCAATCATCATCAGATGAACCAAGTGGGTTAGCTAATGCTTTAGCTAGTGCCAAACTACGTAAGACTCGTGCCCCAGACAGTGAGAGTACTGGCTCCAGCAGCTCTGGTGGCAGCATTGGACGTGGCTCAGGGGAACGGCCAGGGTTAGGTGGTATGATGACTATGATGGATGAAATGGCTGCCACACTTGCACGACGCAGGGCCAAGAACAAGGACCCTCCTTCCTCTCCCACACAATCACAGGTTGGTTCTCGGAAGGATATTGACAGTGATTTTTTCTGATTCTAGTTTTAGCTCAGGAGGTTTTGAATATTGTTTTGTTATATAACAGAAATGTGCATTATTTTAGACTTGCTGTAAGTAAAATTGAGATAATTCTGAAAAAAATTAAGAAAAAACTCAAGGTATATTTGCTCTTCCACAGGACCCACCAAGATCGTCACAAAAGAGTCCTGGGAACACTTCCTCAACAAATGGCAAGACTGGACCTGAATCACCCAAGCCTTCGCGAAAGAGGTTTGGCTCCACCTCAGATGACGGCAGCACCCCCAGAGTCAATGGCCTTGGAGAATCATCCAGCGGTGGGGGGGCATCATCAGGAGAGCTGGAGAGACTTAAAGAAGAGATAATGGATGAAATGAGGAAGGAACTAGATAAAGTAAAACAAGAGATAATTGATGGTAGGCATGAATGCATTCTGTATATATTTTATTTCCGCCATTTATTGGGCAATGTTGAGTATAAGCATTGGTTTCATCCCTGTGTTTACATGTTCAGGTTTGGCTTGCAGTTATTAGCTTATAATAAACCCACACTTTATGGGACCTCTTCATGTTATGTAGAGGGATTTATGAAAAGTCATTTTAGCTCACAAAACATCCCAGCCTTGTCATTATGATGCTGTTTATCAGGAAGGACTAGAGTGAGCTATTGCTTATTATTATTTACCCAGGATTCTCCATAATATAGTAGTTGCCAGCTTATGGCCCACTAGTGGGCCAGCAGTTAAATTAGGCTGTTGATATTTTCATAGAATGCAGTTAATAACTATAAATAAAAAAGTTGTAGATTCAGATTGCATCAAAATTTAATTGTTATAGGCCTCCTGCTGGAAAATGTTGGGAATGACATTATATATTTTTTTTGTTTTGCTTTGGAATATTTGACTGCCATCTTTTATATAATGAAAACTAGATTCTAGTCTCATTTAGGAGGCTGTAATCTGATTATTATGGCTATCTATTAGAATTAGTTGGATGAATAAGTCACTTGATGGGTAAAAACACTGAGCCTGTAATGTATATTATAGGTTTTTATAGCCCTGCAGTCATTGCAGGCAGCAGGTGAGTGTAGACCTGCTGTTGATCCAGGCTAGAAGAGTGAACATTTACTGCAGAAATGATCACAGTTTTATTCTCACACTACTTTATTGTTTTGTTAATGTACAGAGAATGAGTGAAATTATTGTACTCACCACTCAAGCCAAATATTTCATGATGTGATGATCACATCATCTGGACTGTAGATACTACTGGCTTTAAAGGATAAGATTTAGTTTATTTACATTGGGTTAAGTTATCATCTGCATGTTTTGTGATAAGAGGTAAATTCTTTGAAAAACTGAAGGAAATATATAGTTACACTCTATCTTCATGAAATAGTTAAATAGCCAAAATTGAAAAATAAAATGGTTTTGTTGGAGAATGTTCAACAATCTCTTTATTACTTGTGCACTATAAATAATATGTGAAGTCATTGTAATGATTTATTAATTCACTATGTTATTTTCAGCTGTCAAGATGGAGCTAAATCGAAGATAAGTGTGATCCTGCTGTCAGAGAAATAGGAGCCCTTTGGAAATAGTGGCATTTCTCTAGGAAAGTCGCAATTACAGGGCCTACTTCATGATTTAGGGACCACTTACCTTTTCTTAATAGAGGAACTGATTTGGTACAAGTGAGGAAAAAACTGTACCATATACAATGCTCATATTTTACATTTATGTAAAACCCCAGGACATTATCAATTGATACATGACCATTGTTATTGAAATGATACTATAGTTGTGTTTCCCATACTATATTATTGACCAAAGAAGGTGTTCTTGGTGCAAAGCACAAATGACTTGTGCTGTATTCCACACAATAGTCTATGGAACTGCAAGAGGATTAGCCTGTTTGTGTGGCTGAAAGAAACTTTTTAATGGCATTGTGGTATGTGTGTGTTAACAGGAGAGTGGCCTATATGTAGTTGAGTGGTGCAGGGCCACAAGCTGGCTATCTTGTGCTGTGGATGGACACATGACACATCCTACATATTATTCTAGCTAAAATATCAGCAGGGCTTTGATTAAAAAGTCATTTTATATGTTATTTGTGAGTTTAAGACAATGTGTATCAACATGGTTTTAGTAATATGGTAAGGCCTTTTTGATTTTATAAATAGAAATTACATGAAAAGCAAAGGTATTTCATGAAGCACTGCTTTTGAATGATATGTCAAGTTTCCAAAACTGACAAAATGTACAGCTCAATTGACTTGATGTAGTCAAAGGTGTAGTGATGTTAAGCCATGCTAGGTATACTCAGTTGTGTTCAGTGTGCTGTTAGTTCAACCAGGCATCAGAATGGATGAATGTGATGATGATGCTGACCTCAAACTGATAACATGGTTTTGATTGAACTTCAAAAAACACCAGTATGGACTTGGTGCATGATTTGCATTTCGTAGGAAAGATAATTTGTTTATAGAATTGGCTTCTTGTCTACTTTTGTACAGCCACACCTCTTAACTCACGTGCTTTATGAATGATTGTAAATGAGAGCCACACTGCCTATCCCATGGTTTCCTCCACATCAAATTTTGTACAAGCCCTGCCCCCTTGCACTCCTAAATCTTATGTACATAGTGCCCTCCTCACCCAGGGTTGGAAGGGCATGTAGGATCCACTTCCTTGGACCCTCATAAGCCTTTGCATTTAGTACAGTGTCAGTTTTCATACTCTTGCTAGTGTTTTTTATGCATTGTCATGGAATTATTACTATGCCACATTAGCATATATTATGATTATGATGGTGAAAATTGTATTACTTTTTTGTAAATATGATATGTAGATACAGTGGTGAATGTTAGTGGTAGTGCTTCTGTGGTCTTTGCTCACCTATGCTGCTGAACGGACTAGACTGAAATTTCTGAATTGTGCTCAATTGCTAGATTCATCTCGAGTAAATTACGTTTTGAAGATAAGTGAAGAGTCAATCCATCGGCACCATTTACCAATAGCAGCGTTTGCAAGAATAGTGTGACATATAGTAATAAGGAGATCGATTAAATGTTATTGACTATTATTTTTACCCCCTTTCCTTATGATTTCCTCTGATTTTTTTTTTAAACTGAGTATTAGTGAGCACAGTTCAAGAAACAGTCCTGAAGAGTGCAGTTATCTGTATGCCTTGCCAGGCTGTCTCTAGACATGGAATACCAGGGTCAATTTGGTATCTAGTCAAGACTCCAGAGAAGATCACTGCTGAAGACAAAGTGTCTTTTATCCACAGGATGCATGTTGGAATTATGAATAGCTGATTATGCTATAGGGCTACAATCTTGACAAATCTGTGCTGCTTGGTGAGTGTGTTGCAAAAAAAGCAGTTGTGAGTCAAAGCCAGTATTTTGTTTCATTTATTTATATATATATTTTTTCGTTTTTGAAAATGATTGTAATTCAATATTATTCTCACTATCATTACTATTTTATTTAATTAAAGTACTGTGTAAAAATAATGAAGATTCATGTTTTTTAGCAATGCCATACATATGGTGACTATATAACCCTTTACGATCACTTGCAGTGCTTCCATTTTGTTTGATGGTAATGATGTCTTTGAAACATTCTCAAATATGTAAGGGATTTCACATATAAAATCTTATAATTTTAGTCATTATTATTTTTGTTTATTGATTTTAAAAAGCAGGAATTGCTGTATAATGTTTAGTTTTTCCTTCATTTATTGCAGAGAAAGAAGAATGCAAGAATTTTTTTTTACATATCACAAAAGCACATACATATAAACATGCAGATACACAGGTACACACAATGCAAACTCAGTGCACACAATTACAGTCATATGCAAACAATGGGAAGGAGAGTGATAACATAAAGAAAAATGTAACATATATTTATTAAAATGACGAGGGTATGTGAGTGAGTGTGTCCGCATGTATGTGCTTGTGCATATGATCTTGCAATATTGTGATTGCTTCAAGGTTTGTCTTTCCATTAAATTTTATTCATTTTAGTTTCATGCTTTTTAGGGTAATGTAAGATATATTTCATATTTAAAACTACTGGCTATCTCAATTAGTTGAAAATAAGCACAATCCAAATTAAAACATTGCACCTTCTAATGTAATGGCAAAGAGACCACATAAGGCATAGAGTTGGAAAGTAATCTTAGTTCTATCTCAGAAGGATGGAAAGTAAAGCTTCAGAAGGTTCAGAATTCCTACCCTCTTTACGGACTCTTTTTCATTATAACTAGCTATCTTTGCTAGGTGTTGAAATCCTCTTAGTTTGCTGGTACTTTTCTTGCATGTCAAAGGAAACAGGTAGTGATTGATAGGCCCCATTACTTAAGTGCACTTGACCTGGTATGGTTATTGTTAGCACTTTCTGAGTGTCTTCTGATGTGTGTGATGCATCATTTTTTCTCTTTTTTAAGGTTATAAGTTACCAGACTAAAGATGAAAGTATATTTTATTTATGTTGTGTAAGGCATTCATTTTTGTTAATATGTTGCCAATATATCATTCTTTAATCATGTGATAAGTGCTTTTTTTGACACAGACAACTTGTTTACCTTATTTTGATGCCAAGCAGTGTCATGAAGTGTATTATTGTGAAATTTAACAAAACACGTTTATACCTATGGGAATTAAAATTTCATTTAAGTGTCCTCTGGGTTCACTTGAATTTAATTTAAAAAGGCTTACATGTATGATTTTTTAATTAGGAAAGATTGTCAGTGGCCTGTGTTTCAGCAGATAGTCATGTTTTCCAGAATTGTGTTGTAAAGATGTGAAATGTGAATGGGTTGGTATACATGAATATTTTTAAGATGAAATAGTGCCCTTAAATGTGTAAATTGTGAATATTCATTATTTTTTTATTATTTAGAAAAGACAGAACTTGGAACATTTGAGATATTACAGATTCTTTAATTATGGTAATATACTTTGGCCATGGTTAATGAAGCTTTTATATTTACTTGCATATAAAAAATGATGTTGAATTTTTTAAACAAGATTTTTGAAATTATCAGTTATTTATTTTGTGTTTTGCACTAATTTTATCAGAATGAATGCAAATGAATCATATTTGAAAATCTGCTTAATGATACATGATACATATCTTATTAGACCTAAAACAAAGTAAAACTTTTGATAAATGGATATTCAGGAAATATTTTGTATGAACAACATACATGCTGGCAGTACAGCTTTTGACTAATTGTCTGCAAGCATTTCTGTGATAGGGTCAGAGGAGTCACTAAAAAGTTTTTTTCAGCAATGAACTAGCTAGTGCAGGTTGAGAGCTACACTGGCATTTTGCCAGTGTTTGTTAAATAAATGAAATGTCTTGTACATGCCCTGCAAGAAGGATGGGATATTCTTAAATGTGTTTAGAAGCTCATTGTGTTTGTAGACCATCCATGTTCCTTATCTGTGAGTCTGAAGTTTTACAGTGGCAAATGTGTTTTGACTGCCTGATATTGAATGGCCATGGTTACATCCTGCTTCTTTGACTTTTTTTTATGTCTTTTTATCAACATTTTTCATTGCTTTTTTTCTAGGGTAAATTATTTATCACAGTTTCTTTCCTAATATTTTATATATAGTTTTAATTGTATCCAATTACGGTATTTGTAGTACTGAATAATGAAGTTGATCTTTGCTACGTTTACAGAATCCCAGAAAAAGACAATGTTCAGTGTTGAAGGTGATGCAGAGTAATTTCTTTCCCTATATTATGGGTTCTATTCCTTCAGCAAGTGATTGTCAGTATAAATGTTTTTTTGTGCACAAATGTTTGTGAGGCTGGAAAGTTGTCAGTGCGTGGATGAATATTTTAAAACATGGGCTAGTGAAGCGTTAGTTGTAACAACATGGTTGCACTGAGAAGTGAGATCCCCAACAGGTTTATTTGCAGGACATAAAAAGCTGGAGTGAGTAGTACATTAGCGTTGGTAATTTTCCTAAAAAGCGTCTGCTACAAAGAGAAGGACCTTGGTGTAAGTTCAATCACATTTAATCCTAATTTCTCTGAATGTGCTACAGAGGTTTGCTAATAAATACAAAAATCTTTATGTGCAATAAATAGAAAAGCTATAACCAGCCTTAGAGTTTGCCAAGTGGGGATAGAAGTAAAATGATTATGTAGTATGATAATTTGGGATGACTGGAAAAGATGCAATGAAAACTTGGCAGTATTATCAGTAGTAGCATATCAGTCAGGGGGCACTGCTCAGTGAAGTTACCTTTGTGATCTCAGGCAGGGGTCAGGACATGTATGACAGTATTATGACAAATTTGAAGACAAAAAACAGTACTCTTTGCTAAATGTTTTTTGCTTAGGTAGAACCTTAATTAAAATTATTTCTTCCTTGCCAGTGCTTTGTCAGCTGATCATATTTTGCTAATATTGTTATGAACATGTATAAGCAAGAAACGGTATGTTGTCAGCCAAGTTCTAGCCTGGCCCTACGTGTCCTGACTGCCTCCACGTTGTACGCTCTCCAGCTCGTGCTAGCATACCAGTCCCATCTTTGATATGTATTCATATGTTCTTAAATAAAATATACAATGTCTTTTGTATTATTTTAATGATCATCAGTTCTTCCTCTCTGCTACAGGTAATGCAACAATTATACTATTTCCACACATTAAGAGAAAGGTACTTACTCAAAAGGGGATGAAAGAAAATGAAATAGTTTTCCAGGGTCACCTGATTGCTCCTCAAAGGGAAACCATCTTTTTTTTTTTTTTTTTTTAAGTCAAGAATGTGATGTGAGTGAAGTCTAAGAGAAAATAGTGAATCAAGATATTTGTATTTGAAATTATAAAGTCTTACATTTTTTTCATTTGTCATCTTACTTTTCAGTGAAAATTCATCAGTATATAGTAGTTTTGTGCAGTGGACTAAAATATTAATTTATATATTGTTATGCTGTATTAGTAGATCAGGAATTCTCCTTTATTATTTTTTTGTATAGTAATATCAATGCTTAATCCTTTTATCTAATGGAGACCTCAAATTTAACTAATGAAGATATATCTGGTCATATTTTATTCTGAAATACCATGAACAAGATATGAATTTGCCACTTTTTAAAATTTCAATCTAGTATTTATCTTATAGCTTTCTAAAGTAGTGTGTATTTTAAAAAACATGAATACATATTTGCCACATTTCTCAACTGAATGGGAAAATCTTTCAAAAATGGACAAAGTGGAAGGCATCCTGAATAGTGTCAGAATGGAATGAGCCACATTTTCAATGGTCAAAATAATAACTTGAGCAAAGGAAAGATTTAGTATATATACTTTTTGATAGTTTACACCAAAGTGAATTTACCAAGTTCAAAATGGGTCTGAGCTGCACATATGTTAAGTTATCCAGATATAGATTCCTCTCTATTTTATGTTGCTAGTTGAATGATACATGAGGATATGTATTTCAGTGGAAAATAATAGTCTACATGAACATTTACAAAACCATATCACTACTGAACAGATTAATATCAACAGGATAAAGGATATAGACTGCAACAGTGTACAGGAAATTCATGTGCCATTGAAAAAGGGTTTATACTGAACTACTTTCATCGAAAGCTGATATGTATTGTATGTATAATATATTTATCATTGCAAATCTTTAAATCTAAATATGATGATATTACTATAATACTTTTTTTCTGTATATATATTAATTTTCAGCTAAATACCTACCATAGTCCATACTGAATCCATCTTTCTAATGGTCACATGGCAAAGAGGGGGTAGTAGGTAGTAGGATGCTTTTGTGTATATTATATTTCAATGCTTTAACAGTTAGCATCTGCTGGGTTTTGCTTGCATTGAATGGGTACTTAAAGAAACCTTAAACATTCTAAGTGACATAAAGCTACTTTATTTCTGAATGTTTTTGTGTTGTCTGCATTAAATGTAATTTATTATTGGCTTAATGTTATTGTTATGGAAATTATTGTAGTGGGAAAG